AACTTGCTAACTTACTAACTGACAAACCTGCTAACTGGCTAACCTGCTAACTTGCTGACATGCTAACTTGCTGACATGCTAACTTGCTGACATGCTAACTTGCTGACATGCTAACTTGCTGACATGCTAACTTGCTGACATGCTAACTTGCTGACATGCTAACTTGCTGACATGCTAACTTACTAACTGGCTAACCTGCTAACTTGCTGACATGCTAACTTACTAACTGACTAACCTGCTAACTGGCTAACCTGCTAACTGACTAACCTGCTAACTGGCTAACCTGCTAACTGACTAACCTGCTAACTGGCTAACCTGCTAACTGACTAACCTGCTAACTGGCTAACCTGCTAACTGGCTAACCTGCTAACTGGCTAACCTGCTAACTGACTAACCTGCTAACTGACTAACCTGCTAACTGGCTAACCTGCTAACTGACTAACCTGCTAACTGACTAACCTGCTAACTGGCTAACCTGCTAACTGACTAACCTGCTAACTGGCTAACCTGCTAACTGACTAACCTGCTAACTGACTAACCTGCTAACTGGCTAACCTGCTAACTGACTAACCTGCTAACTGGCTAACCTGCTAACTGGCTAACCTGCTAACTGGCTAACCTGCTAACTGGCTAACACATACAGAGAACTGTGTAAACGTGGAAAGTGGCTGTGCATAAAGTATTCAGAGAAGCGGCTCCGTATCGAGCTCCCTTTAGCGCCGGGAGGAGGTGATGAATTGGACATTGACCACATCGATCGCACACGACGTCGCGGCCAATAGCATCGCACCGATAATGTCTTTACAAAGAGCTGTTCATTTTCTCTGACATTCTGCGGCGGAGAGTCAGATCCATAAAAGCACATCGCAGACGCCATGTTTTAATGACGTGTCCCCGGTGGAGGTCACGGCGCCGCCCGGGGTCACGGTCACTTCCTGTCCTTCTGTCCTCACGTGTGGAATAAAGGGTTTTAGGATTTCTGCTGATTCCATGTTTTAGTCTGACATGGTTCACTGCAAAAAAGGGATTCAAAATGAGTCAAATAATGGATAAAATCTGACAAAATGTGTCTTAATCTGAACATTCTGACTTAAAACCAGATTCTCCAACGTGACAAAACAAAATGATTTTGTTTTATAAAGAAATGTCTCGTGAGGAAACAAAACCGTTCTTTAATCAGACTAAATGACTTTGTCCCGTTTAAGAATCTAGATTTAATAGAATGTGTTCAGTATAAAGGTTTTGGGAAAGAACCGCCCTCTCCACTTTTTGAACCAAACTCTCTGGTCTGATTGGACGAGCACCAGAATGATTGACAGTTGGGAGGACCAATCGTCTTGATGATCTACCTGGAAGTAGAAAACTCTGGATACAATCATGTTTTACTTACTTGGAGATAAATACTGGATCACTTAAAGATGGGAACATGTGTTTAAGAGACCGAGAGATCGTGAACTGGTGCCACTGGGAAATGTCAGTGTTGCATCACATTCACAGAGCAGTAGAACTCTAAAGGCTGTAGAAGAGAAAGAACTCAAAACAAACTCATTACAGAGCGTTAAGCAGCGTCGCACAGGCCTTTCTGCTCGAAGGCGCTAAAATCCACTGATCGCTGACTTGGTGTGCGGCCTGAGGCGGCGTGTGGCCTTTGATGTGACTCTGTAGAAAGAGAATGGACGAGTTTGGATCTGATAAAACTGAATACAGAGGTTTGTGCTCCATATTTAGACATTTTTAAACCAGGAAACGTTTAACAATGAGATTAAAAAACATTTTAAAGCCTTTTTTTAATAACCATGGACTGAACATGTGCTTTATGAATAAATTATTACCTACTTAGTTACTTCCTTGGGGCCAGAGATTGTCGGTGTTTAAACCAGAAACACATAAGGTCTGGGTTGAAATCACAAAAAAGAGGAATAATTAGAATTTTCCGTTTTTACTTTAAAATTATGAGTCTGGTTCTGTCGTCTGCTGTAAATGTCTGTTTCTGAGATGTCTTTTTTATCTGGACCTTGTTTCTGTGATAAATAATCTGCAGTTTTGGTCCCGGCCTCAGAGACATTCTGAAGCAGATTGATCCATATTTCGGCTTCAAAAGTGCGCTATAATGAAAGATTTCTGAGTCACTTTGATCTGGATGCTATAGATTCCCAGTGTAAAGACTGTGATTGTGGTGTTTAGTTGCATTACCGTGAAAAAATAGAGCCAAAATAAATGAATATAATCATTAAAAACACATCAGGTCTGGGATAAAACTCGAACATAAATGAATGTGTTGAGAAGCGGCTTCTGGACGATGGAGTTATCTGCGGTCGTCCTCCGCCTGAAATTACAACATTCATTTGTCCGAAGCCTCGTGAATGCGACGTATAGATTCCTTCTTAAGTGGGCAATCTCGGCGTGGCGTTCCCAGGAGGCGCGTGGCGTTCCCAGGAGGCGCGTGCGGACGGGAAGCTGCAGCGCTGTCCGTGTAACTGATGGAGCATTGTCTGAGGCTGAAGGATGGGTTTTAATCAGGCTCTGCTGATTTCACTCTGATCATTCATTAAGCAGACAATAGACAGGAATGGAACTGAGGAGGGGGAGGGGGGGAGGAGGGGAGGGAGGGAGAGGGGAGGGGGGAGGAGAGAGCGGAGAGGAGGAGGAGGAGGAGAGAGATAGAGAGGAGAGGGAAGGGAGAGAGAGGAGAGGGGGGAGGAGAGAGAGGAGAGAGAAGGGGGAGTACAGGGAGAGAGAGGAGAGAGAAGAGGGAGGAGGAGGAGAGGAGAGGGGGAAGAGAGAGAGGAGAGAAGGGGGGTACAGGGAGAGGAGAAGGAGGAGAGGAATGGGAGGGTAGAGGGGTGAGAGAGAAGGGAGAGAGAGAGAGGGAGGTCCACCGCTGAGAAGCAGAGCAGGACGGGGTGCCATGACTGGATTGAAAGAAGAGAGATTATGCTTTGGTTTGGTCCATTCTGAGAAGGACTGAGGCTGTAGACCCAGGACTGAGGCCGTAGACCCAGGACTGAGGCTGTAGATCCAGGACTGAGGCTGTAGACCCAGGACTGAGGCTGTAGATCCAGGACTGAGGCTGTAGACCCAGGACTGAGGCTGTAGACCCAGGACTGAGGCCGTAGACCCAGGACTGAGGCTGTAGACCCAGGACTGAGGCTGTAGACCCAGGACTGAGGCTGTAGACCCAGGACTGAGGCTGTAGACCCAGGACTGAGGCCGTAGACCCAGGACTGAGGCCGTAGACCTAGGACTGAGGCTGTAGACCCAGGACTGAGGCCGTAGACCCAGGACTGAGGCTGTAGACCCAGGACTGAGGCCGTAGACCCAGGACTGAGGCCGTAGACCCAGGACTGAGGCCGTAGACCCAGGACTGAGGCCGTAGACCCAGGACTGAGGCCGTAGACCCAGGACTGAGGCCGTAGACCCAGGACTGAGGCCGTAGACCCAGGACTGAGGCCGTAGACCCAGGACTGAGGCCGTAGACCCAGGACTGAGGCCGTAGACCCAGGACTGAGGCCGTAGACCCAGGACTGAGGCCGTAGACCCAGGACTGAGGCCGTAGACCCAGGACTGAGGCCGTAGACCCAGGACTGAGGCCGTAGACCCAGGACTGAGGCCGTAGACCCAGGACTGAGGCCGTAGACCCAGGACTGAGGCCGTAGACCCAGGACTGAGGCCGTAGACCCAGGACTGAGGCTGTAGACCCAGGACTGAGGCCGTAGACCCAGGACTGAGGCCGTAGACCCAGGACTGAGGCCGTAGACCCAGGACTGAGGCCGTAGACCCAGGACTGAGGCCGTAGACCCAGGACTGAGGCCGTAGACCCAGGACTGAGGCCGTAGACCCAGGACTGAGGCCGTAGACCCAGGACTGAGGCCGTAGACCCAGGACTGAGGCCGTAGACCCAGGACTGAGGCCGTAGACCCAGGACTGAGGCCGTAGACCCAGGACTGAGGCCGTAGACCCAGGACTGAGGCCGTAGACCCAGGACTGAGGCCGTAGACCCAGGACTGAGGCCGTAGACCCAGGACTGAGGCCGTAGACCCAGGACTGAGGCTGTAGACCACATGTGTCAAAGTCAAGGCCCGCGGGCCAAATCCGGCCCGCGAATGAATTATCTATGGCCCCCGGGACATTGCCTGCCATTGAGGCAATGTATTGACCCCTTAAGCTCGCTAGCCCCCGCCGGCGGGAGCAAACGAGAAAAAAAATACTTCTGCTGGCAATAGCAGATGTATTTTGAACTTCATAAGCCACAAGCTATACATCATTTTAAAGCTTATTTTATCAGCTATATTTATATGTAAGTGTAAACGATATCAGACTTTGCATTAAAAAGATATAACGCATAATATGGGCACAAAATAAATCAGTCTGTATTTGTTTTTTACCTTTCGTCTTCTGCTGCTCCAACAAATTAGACTTTCCCCATCCTTGCTTAGTCTCTTTCTCTCCGTAACTGTTCATTGAAGAAGAATATCCACTTGTATTTCCCAAAGTATAATCCATTCTGCAGATTTCATCAAAAAACGCCCCGAAAAGAGGTCCAGACTGCTCTTTTACATACCACCAAGTTTGAGCTTTTTCTTTTTTTTACTATTGTCATTTTCTCAGATGTCTATTACATCTAATATGTACAGTATGAGGATTGGCTTTGGAGCATATTTTATCGAGCCAACAGGTGTCACCGGCACTGCCTCTGGATGTTGAGAAACATTGAACCAGTCCGGCCCTCGGCGCGTAGCAAACATTTTTTTTTGGCCCTCTGATGTATTTGACTTTGACATGCCTGCTGTAGACCCAGGACTGAGGCCGTAGACCCAGGACTGAGGCCGTAGACCCAGGACTGAGGCCGTAGACCCAGGACTGAGGCCGTAGACCCAGGACTGAGGCCGTAGACCCAGGACTGAGGCCGTAGACCCAGGACTGAGGCCGTAGACCCAGGACTTAGTTCTCGTTGCTATAACTATTTTCTAACGTCCTCCATTTTGTTTTTGTTCCCTCAG